AAGAATGACAAAAAGGCTGCATCATGAGGGCAGTCCTCAAAGAAAAGGCAATGAAGCATCTTTGAGCTGCTCCTAAGGGAAACGCAGATATGCCCTTAGGCTACATCAAAAGAGGTATAGTTAATTCAAGAACCCCCTGAATTAAATTGAAATCCATCCTCTTCTGTAACACAACAAGATGACCGAAGGATTGAAATGAAGTTTTACAAAAAAAAAAAAAAAAAAAGTAGCTGGGGGCATTAGCCAGAGCTGAGTTGAAATATGACAGCTTTGTCTCAACAGCCTCTCCTCCTTTTAGATCCTGGGCCAAACTAATAAACTGAAGCCTAGTTAGCCACCAGAATCCGACGGTCACCATTCCCACGTTAATGTCCCAGGCATTTATTAAACAGCAATGGAAAGCAATCTCTTTTAGAGCTGCAAGCCTACCTAGAGCAGGACTTTCCAACCTTCTCACCGATTTTACCACTTTTAGCATACGGCAATATCCGAGTACCGCCAGTCGCCTAGAAAGGTGTCAAAAACTTGATGACCCAAAAAAAAAAAGGAAAAAAGTGATAAAGTACAGATAGTCCTTGACTTACTACACCTCGCTTAGTGACTGTTCGAAGTTACAACGGCAGTGAAAAAAGTGACTTATGACCATTTTTCACACTTCTGACCGTTGCAGCATCCCCAGGGTCACGTGATTTACATTCAGATGCTTGGCAACTGATTCGTATTTATGACGGTCCCAGGATCACGTGATCCCCTTTTGCAACCTTCTGACAAGCAAATCAATGAGGAAACCAGATTCACAACTGTGTTACTAATTTAACAACTGCAGTGATTCAAATGTGGCAAGAAAAGTCATAAAATGGGACAAAACTCATTTAACAAATTTCTCACAGCAACATAAATTTTGGGCTCGTAGGTTGATGAGTATCTGTACACCCAGTTACCACCCTTTTAATGGGAAACTTGTGCCTGTTTCTCTGACATTAATCTTTGCACTGTTCCATCCCCTTCTCTCCCTCTGCTTGCCTCAAAGAAGCCTCTCCTCTTCTCCATCTCTCTTTCTCCATCCCCTTCTCTTTTTCCGTTGTCTTGTTTTTCTCTCCCTTTCCCTCCAAAACCTCCTCCTTTTATATCCTCTCCTCTCTCCCCCTCTTCCTCCTTTTCTCTTCGGTGCAGCTCCAGCTGACTCCTCTCTCACAGGCTAAGTGCTGCTCCCGGAAGCTCCAATCAACTGGAGCTGCGTGCCAATCCTGGGAACTCAGTAGAACCCAGCCACACCACAGCTCCAGCTGACTCTCCCACAGGCCTGTGCAGTGCTGCCGCCACTTCAACTCATCCCCTGCTACACTTCCCCTTTTTTAGACTTTTTTAACGGTGCTTTTCAACCCGTGATACGCGTATCACCTGCCAGGTGCCAAAGTACCACCAGTGGTACGCGTACCACGGCTTGAAAAGCACTGACCTAAAGGAACCTGAGAAATGCAAAGAGGTACCCCCCACTGCATGCTGCCACAGAGGAAAGCAGGCAGAGGCTTTCTGAAGATGGCCTTCCTTCTCCTCTTGATCTGAGCAGAGCTGGGCTTGCAGACTCACCCACTTTTGAGTGGCTGGGGGAGGAGGGAGAATTTGTGGCACAAAGTGCCTGCCAACCCCTCCTTGGAAGCGATGGAGCAACATTTTACATAGCATTGGCCCATAATAAGGAGCTGGTAACCAGCTGAAGAGAAAGCAGGGAGAGGAACAGGTTGGCTCTATCTGTGGTGCTCTCTGGCAAGTCCTCTTCCCATCTGGAACCAAAGATCACATTGATAGCAGTGGGGGGGGGGGGTAGAGGCATCTGCAAGAGTCCAGCAGCTTTCCTCACCTCCTTTTTCTCAGAAGCAAGGCATGTAAGTGGACCTTCAATCTTCCCTTCCACTGAAATGGCATTTTGTCTAAAGAGGTGGTGCCCGAGCATGTTTAGAAGTTATTAGTTCTCCAGCATAGCCTAGGGTTGGGGAGAGAGGCAATTTCCCACTAGAGCCAATCTAGCAGGTCCATCCATCGTCCCTTAGCCACCAGGCGAAGCAGCATCCCAGATGGGACTATTGTTGTCTTGTCCAAATAGCTATGGGTCTAAGGCAAATCAGAGCATGCTTAGACCTGGAGAATGCACCTGTCCATCATATTTCCCTCCTTTAGTGCTTGATCTCACTTGCTGGGGAGAGGACTACCCTCTCCAAGAATGGGTTGTGAAGCCATGCAGAAATGCAGTGGAAAGAGGTGCCTTAAAGCTGCCATTCAGCATCCTTTAAAACAAAAGTGTTAAGGGGAAACAAGTCCTTCACAACTCTGTTGGCAAGAGGACAGTTGAGGGGTTCAAGAAAGAAGCTTTTTCTTGGGAGGGACAAGTCAAGAAGAAGACAGCTTTCCAATAGGGAAAATGGAGGCACAGATGTTCCAGAGACTTTTTATCTCAGCATTTTAATAAAAGGTAATTAAGAAGCTAGCAAAAGCCTTGAATCTGGATACCTGGAATGCTACTATCAACAGCAAAAATCAGAGAACAACAATTGTCCAAGGGAGAACAAATTGTCTGATTTTTTTTCCCTGAATAATCAATTAATAGTCACAATCATCTGTTTAAAATCCTCAAACTGTCAACCAAGTTCACCAGACATTGGATGTCAGGATGGAGATTTTGAAAGTCACAGAACAGTCCACCAGGCAAAAATACCAGAGATTCTTCAGGTTTCCATATGGAACTACAGGTTCACAATTCACCCCCTCAGGACCCATGGTTTTTATCAGTCAGATGGCAGTTCTGACAGAGCACATGAGGACTCAGAGGGCCCATGTCTACATTTGTGTGGGTAATTTGGTTATCAAAATCCCCTCAAGGAAGAGGGCAATGTTAGCTTGGCACTTCAGTTGATGTCATAATTACGTAAAAATTTTGCACTTGAAAATGATGACCTGTACTGAACAGGGCAATCTCCTATCCTAGCAATGATAGTTCAAGTTGCAAAGCGCAACAGGAGAGACTTCAGCTTTCAGGATACAATCTTCTTTGACACCAGCAGGACTGGAGAGGCTGATGATGGCTACCGTGAACTTCAGTGATTCTTGCACTCATTCTAGGAACAAACAGTATGCAGACCTTAGCTATACCTGATAGCCCTATAATAGACCTTTGCTGTGGTGGCTAGAACTGCTGGACGTCATTCAGAGAACTGATGTGGAGCAGCCCTACCACAGAAGCCAGCCTAATAAGGTGCAAACAGCAATTTCAGCCTTAGGGCTCCGGTCCCTGTCATTACTACCACAGAATGACTTCTAACAGAATACAGTACATTTAATATTGTACACTATAACGGAGCCTCTGATGGGAGAGGGACAAATATTCTGGTAAGAACGGACAATATCACAACAAAGGCCTACATCAACAACCTTCACAACCCCATTGGCAAGTGGATAGTTGAGGGGTTCAGGAAAGAGATCAGAAGGTCAAAGACTGACCTCTTAACGGCTTGCAGAAAAGCTTCTAATCTCTATAGCAGCAATATACATACAAAGGTTGCTGAACACAAGCAGCGGATTAGTTCAGCTGTCAACATGATTTGCTATTACAAACAACCTAATAAGCCATTATCTACTACAGCACTGTTAATTGTATGAATAACTAGATTCAACTATTTTTCAGCTAAAGATAATACCTGCAACTAAGGAGCTAGCCCTTACCAAATGACAAAAAGTTTAAGCCCTGCTTTCTAGCCAGAGGAAAGAGCTCTTCCTTGTTGCCCCCCCCCCCTTCAGTCACCTGATGATAGGTCTAAGTGAAAGCCAGTACAGAAACAATGGTTTTTGGCTTCCAAAGAATCACAGTATTGTATTTTAAAAGCTTTCTGTCCCAAATGAGGTTGCTTAAAAGTAATGATCATGAAAAATCAGGATTGATCGTATTTGTATCAGACCGACAACCGCTGACCTATTGGGTCATCATTTCAGAAACATTTCCTTACTCCTGCATTTTGCCCAACCCTCATTCCCTCAACACACTCCAGAGCACCCTCTTGCACCACAAAACTGGGTTGCCATCCACCCTTGTTGTGTGATCATTTCCTTACCTAAACAGAACGACGGGGATGGCAAAAGAGTGGGGGGGGGCAGGATGATTTCTGACCGGCTTCCCCAATGACATTCCTTGCAAGAAGCATTGGAAATGACGATAATATGGACACGGGTGACCACGGCAGTGCAGCAGCACTAAAGAGGTCACGGCTTTACCAAAGTTCAGCGCCACAGGAGCAAGCCTGTGAGTTTAGTTCCGACTCCTGGACTAAACATCTTTCTCTGAACTTCTTTGCAGGCGGCTGTCCTCCGGAGCGCCGTCTTATACCCGACTCGTGGGTCTAGTCCTCAGACGTCCAGGTTTATTATTATATTTATTTATTTGAAAGAAGAGAGGCTACAAACCCGAGACTTGCCTACCATCAAACCCCCAAATAAAGCCACCGATCCCACGCGGCATCTAGACTCCGCGCAGGGCAGGCGGGGAGGGCAGGCCGGGCAGCCGCTCCTCCCTCTTGCGACCGGCTGGCTGGACCGAAAAAGTTCTGAGCAGGAGACCCCGGAAGTCGACCCGACTCCCGCCTTGTTGTGGAGGCCCCATCCCATCCTTCCTGCCCGCAAGGCGCGGATACCGGGCCCCTCCGCCGCCCCACCAGGGGCCGAGCAAGGGCGAGCGGGTGGGCGGCCGAGGGCCAAAGGCGGGGCGGGCGCCGGCAGGCCGAGGGCCGCGGGGCAGGGCCAGGCAAGCAGAGCCGCGCGCCCAAGGCGGTCGCCACTCGGGCCACGGGCCAGCCGGCGGGCGCCGCGCACCCCCGCTCCTACCCACCCTCACGGAAGCAGCTCCCGCTTGAGGTGCGGCTCCGCCGGCCAGCCGGACGGGCCCTCGCTCCGCCCTGCGCACCCCGGGCGGGGCTGCCGCCACACCAGCCCGGCACCGTCGCCGCGAGGCCTACCAGGGGGCTGCCAGCGCTGGCCATGGGCCCGCCGGCCCTCCGCCGCCTCCGCCGCGCCGCCACAGAAGCGCGACCCAACGGGACGCCCGCGTCCTCCGCGAGTGACGTCAGCCACAACAATGCCCGCTTCCGCTCGGGGAGGCGGGACTTCCCCCCGCGCGCTTCCCGACTGGCTGTCCCGAGGCGCGGGAGCCCCGTCCGCCGCTCTCGCGAGACTCTCTGCGCGCCACCCCTCCCCCGGATTGACGCAGCCGCTCTTCGCGGGGCCCGCTGGGTAGGAGGCCCGGATGCAGGGGGCGGGGCAAGGGGCTGGCGGGGGGGGCTTCGGGCTTTTCGAGAGAGCCCGGACCGAGCGGATGTGACCGGCGTCCTGCCCGCGCAGCTCCCTCCCCTGCGGGCCGCGAGTAGAAGCGCGGAGGAGGGCTGGTCCCTGCAGGGCTGGAGCGGACGAACCCGAAGGCCGCTTCCACCCATTCATTCCGCGGCGACTCCTCCCTCTCCCCACAGTTTCTACCGCGTTGTGCTGCCCCCTGGTGGCCAAGTGTGAGTCCTGCAGCGAAAGGACCGCGAGCCGCTTAAAAGCGACTCTAAACGGAGCGTGGGAACCGGCTCGCTCGCTCCGCTCCGAGGACTGAAGCCGAGCGGGTCCTGCACGAGCTGGGCTTCCGCACTTCTGAACCAAGTCATTGAGGACTAGTCGGTGTTAGCCTTAACTGTGTTCTCCTAGCTTGGTCCGCTTTGCAAACCCTGTTTTACCTAGTCGGTTTATAATTTATCGAACTGTGTCAGCCCGGAAAATCAGTTAGGTCGGTAACTGTGTCAACTGTCAAACTAGCTCAGCTTTTACTGAACAGTAAATACTCCACATTTTCTGGGAAGCTACAGTTGAAGCATCATATCGGCACAGTAGGAAGACTTTAGACTGGGAACTCTGTCGTGCTTTTCACGTTCCACCGCAAAATGCCACCCAAAATCATGCCTGAGTTAATAGGAAAAATATAGCAAAACGGATGTTCTGGGACTTCTTAGAAGGAAGTATAAAGGATGTCATTTTACAATCACTGATCCTGCCAAACTGATATGGCAGGTCTACCACCTTCCTAGGTCTCCATGCCTACTGGCAAAAAGCTGTTTTCGGGATCTTAGAAAGGCCAGAGAACGGGGCCAATCTGATCTCCGGCAGGATAATATTCCACAAGACAGAGAAGGTTCTCTTCCTAGTCCTAATAAAGGAGAGCATTTGTAGATCAGGGTTGAAGTGCGGGGTCCTGGGTGCTGCCTGAGCTTGGTTGTTTTCTTGCAGACATTTCATTGCCAAACAAGGTAACATCAGTGCTAGTATGGAATGGCAGGGCAAGACACTGGAGTATAAACTGAAAGTAAACCCCACTTCTTACTAGCACTGATATTGTTACCCATCTGCAAGAAATCTGCAAGAAAACCAAGCTCAGAGAGCACCAAGGACCCTTCCTAGCCCTACCAGAGAAGTCTCCTTGGCTGATGGGCCCCTCCTGACTCCCCTGATGAAAAGGGGAGATGCAATGAAAAGGGGAGAAGCCTCAAATCACCCAGCCCTGGGCCAAGGGGGGGTTTGTAGGTCATTGCCAGAATCCTGAACCTGGAAGCAGCCTGGCTGCTGATATAGCTCCTAGAACAGCGGTTCTCAACCTGTGGGTCGCGACCCCATTTGGGGTCGAACGACCATTTCACGGGGGTTGCCAAACAATGCGATCTGCCATTTTTTTCGTCAGCCGGCGCAGGGGGGCGCCTCCCGCGCATGCTCGCCACGCAGGGGGCGGCGCCGCGCAGGGGCGGCGCAGGGGGCAGCACCATGCATGCGCGCCACGCAGGGGGCGGCGCAGGGGGCGGCGCCGTGCATGCGTGCCGTGCAGGGGCCGCCGCCGCACATGCGTACTGCGCAGGGGGCACCGCTGCGCATGCGTGCCGCGCAGGGGGGCGCGCATGCGCGCCGCCTGCTTATGACCGGGGTCGCCGTATAAAAAGGTTGAGAACCACTGTCCTAGAACAGAGGTGTAAAATGCACAAAATTGTGGACACACGTAACTGCACACACAGGTGCATTTTGAACTAGTTGAAGCTTCTGAATATTCTTTAAGGGCAGCCCTGTGTAGAACACATTGCAGTAATCCATATAAGAGGTGATTAAAGCATAAAAGCTTATTGCACCATAATAATTTCAAGGCTCAGTGAACCTATCGGCACTCTTGAGGATAGATTCACACTCTAGATTAGAGGAAAATGGGACAAGACAGTTTACATTTGGTCTGTTAAGGGAAAACAGACAAGATGTCTGAACCAGGCCATTGCCTAAGCTGTAATATAGTCTGCGTAGAGAACGTAATGTGTCTGTGCATGCATCAATTGTGCTTTTCTAATCCAATATTGTGTAAACAGCCTGGGAGTCTCCAATCCTGAAAAAGGGCCTGAAGGGCTACATATTGCCCCCTCGTACATGAAGGAACCCTGTTTTAAGCTCATTGTCAGAGTAAGCTGTAGATCGGTGATCATCCGCACTCAATCTTGTTGGGGCTTGCTCACATGTCCACACTTATCTGCTGGGCCTCCAGATCAGTTCCCCAATCTGAGAGACGGTTTCCGTCGCTTGCTGAAGCTGAAATCTGGAAGGATATTAATGTGGTGCAAGAGCTTGGTGTCTCTGGAGATCGTCTTCAGTCTGCTGGGCAAAGGACATCTTCCTTTTGGCAAAAAAGCTTCAGAAAAATATCTGCACCTTCCTGAGCAGTGACAAGAGCTGAGGGTAAGGAAACGCCCTTATTTCTCCCAGGGATGCTGCTACGTGGCTCCCACCACCTCCCTCGGACTTGGTTAAAAGCACACCTCTGCCTCCAGCTGGTCCTCATGGGGAACTAGAGGCTTGTTTCCCAAGTCCCAGAAGTGGCGGCCCTGCTTCCCTTTTCCTTCCTTCCTTCCTTCCTTCCTTCCTTCCTTCCTTCCTTCCTTCCTTCCTTCCTTTCTTCCTTCCTTCCTCCTCCTGATGGAAGTTCCTGGTTGGCTCCATGCACCACAGGCATCTGTCCCTATGTGGGGGATTCAAGACTTGGTTTGGGGCTGAGTGAGTTCCCCCACTAAGAATCCCTCCCCAGCTAAGTCACTGCAGCCACGTTTGCATTCCAGGCATCCACAGGCCATGGGAAAGGCCTCCTGTGGGACAGCTGCCTGCTTGATGCTCTGGGCTCGATTCTTCCTTATCTTGGCAACGGAACAAACAGGTATGAGGTAGCAGCAAGAGCACTTGCTTATAATGAGATCTGTGACCCCAAAGTGATGACAAGCCAGTGGAGATAGGTATCCAAATCTTCAAAGCCTGAATAGGCTCGAGGTCTAGGTGGGAAAATACTTCTACCCCCCCCCCCCCCGCCGATTTGGAGAAAAGCTGGGCATAAAAGTGGGCAGCACACCTCTGTATCTCCAGATGAGTGTAGAAGTATCTGCATTGCTCACCTTTTGACTGGAGCAGCAGTGCTGGAGTAAAACAGCTGTACGAACCCTGCAGGGCTGGAAAGGCCCAGGCCCACCCCCACCCCCCAGTTCCAGACTCCACTCCACTCAGAAGCCCTTAGCCGTCTCATTTTCTGGGTCATGATGCGCTGTTATAGTCTTCTCTGGGGTGGCTACTGATTTTAGATGGGATACCAAACAAGCTCATTGCTGGTCCAGGGTCGAAGGAAGAGAATTACCGTGCCTTTTTTGCATACATCAGGTGGCCACTAGAGGGCAGCTAAGGGACACACACCAGTCTTCCTCTTTGCTGCCCTCTAATGGTTCTCTGGATTTTGGTAGCCCAGAGATGGTAACCCTAAGCAAGAAGCCTCTGCTGTGAAGGGATGTGTGTGTGGGGGGGGGGGACAAAACTGGGGAGGGGGAGGGGGGGAAGTCAGGAGAATTCTAATCCACAGTTGATTTCCTCTCTGCCTCTTAGCAGATGCTGCCAGCCAAGTACAGTGTCTCAACAATTACGGTTTTCAGGGACGCAAAGTGGACTGCCAATGGCACCGTCCCCAGGCTTTGGAAGGAACGCTATTCTACCTCAATTTCTCTGAGTAAGATGCAGGGTTTAATGGAGGGAGATGGCCACTTGAACAGCAGGGAGGCCATTTCACTGCATTTGTTTAATGGGGACTTGCCTGCCCATCTCCTTGGCCTTCTCAGGGCCCTGGAGAAAATGGCAGCTGCCCTGGCAAGTGATCCTCCTCCCACCCCATCCCAGACTACCTGCCAGGTGCATTGCTGTCCCAGCAGAAGCACAGACACCCCCCCCCCTCAAAAAACCCATTCCACCCAGGTCCTGGCTCTGTCCCTCCACTCCAAGTTGCAGGCCTGTCCCTGTCCTTTAGTTGGACGAGCGCCTCTCGTGGAAAAGGGTCCTCCTGCCTGGCTGCCCCCATTTCCTTCCCAAGAAGTATGGCCAGTCGAGGGGAGCCCCACCCCACCCATTATTCCCCTCCCTCCCTCCCTTTTTCCTTTCCAACTTCCATTCCAGCACGTTCTGACTCAGGGAGCTTCTGGCGCTTGTGAGCAGAGTGAGGAAGCAGGTACGATTTCTGGGGGAGTCAGTAGGGGAGCCTGCAAGCAGCACAGACTACAAAGCCCATCCTTTCCTCTTGATCTATGTGACCTCTTTGGCCATGTTCAGTTCTATAAATCTGTGAAAACATTTTGGGAATTATCTACTTGTTTCATCCAGAGAACTCTTTCCCCTCCTCCTCAGAGTAAAGTGAGAAGTGACATCTACAAATATTGTCCCTTCTGAAGAAAATCTTCCTTAGAGAGCATGCGGACATCTGCATCACCCCCCCCCCAGGCTATCCATAGGGTGGAAATAGGGAGGAAGGGCCCCGTTATCGTCCAGGGTATCTCTTTCATGCACGCCCCCAGCCACATTGTCAGGAGACATGCACGGCCTTGGGGATGCCACCCCCTTTCAGTGACTTGTTCAAACATAGCCAAAGTGTGCTGCGCACACGTAAGACGGAAGGTGGGATCTGACCAGTGTAAAATAAATGGGACAATTCGCTTTCTCTAGAAACAGCCCCAAATTCCCTTTTGATCGCTTTCCTGGCCAAACCCTGGCCTGGATGGTGTTCCATTGCAGGGGAAAGCAGGAGGGGGATGTTCTGTTTGGCCCACTTTTGTGGAAAGCCTGAAAGCAGGTGGTGCGCCCAGCCGAAGGGCAGCAATGCCTGGGTCCGCCGGTCTGGGGAGAGGCTGCCAGGGGGCACAGGCAAGGCCTGGCCAGGGGGTCTTTATCTTCACCGATGAGCAGCTCATAAAAACCCTTGTAACAAACTTGGCAGTGGTTGTCTTCCCCAAGCAGAGTTTCTACAGATCATCCTGTTCTTGTTCAGAGGGGGCTCTTCTCATGAAATGGAGCCTTGAAAGCCCCCCTCCCCGTCCTTCAGTTGGGTGCCCTGCAGTTCAGGCTGCCCTCTGCGTTGTGCCATTCCGCGAGCGATGCTGATGGTCTTCCTTCTCTCAGTGCCCTCGGCCTCTCCAGTGACCTCCTCTGCCCGCTGTCCGCCTCCCCTGGCACCCCAGGTCATTTCAACTGTTCAGCATACAGCGAGGAAGGCGAGTTCACAGAAAACGATGAGTACAAAGTGGTTCTTCACGCCAGCTCCTTGGGAGAAAACTACACCGACCTGATCTTCGTGAAGTATACGCCCAGACTACACAGTGAGTGAACGTGAACTGGAGGGGGAGGATGACCTGTGTTCTCTGGGCCTGCCCCTGCTGTTCTTCCCCATCTCCACATATCCTGGGATCCTCAGGAAGTGGGTCTCAGGTGGGGCTCGGGAATGTGAACCTTTGCATTCCTGAATCATTTCTCCCTGCCCATCTTCTCTTTCCAGTTGCGTGCGACCCACCCTTTGATCTCCAGAGCAAGTGCAGTGATAACAAATGCTGGGTCCACTGGAAGAGGCCAGAGGCCTATGAGGAGATTTTGGAGGACTGGCAGTGGGAACTGGCATTCAAGGCGGTTCAAGAACCCTGGGAGGTAGGAGAAGCCAAGAGAAGGAGGCGAGGTGCAAGGCCACCCTCGACGATCCTGGTGCTCCCCCAATCACCAGGCGTTACCTCAGGTGACAAGGACCAGAAAGGATGCTTTCAGGGACTGCCAGGCCTTTGCTTGGATCAGGACTGGGCCAACTCAGCAGAGGCAAACTTGCAACCTGCCAAATGGCCGTTGTCCGTGGTGGTGGGGCTCATGGCTCAGTTGGCCTGTTCCCCCCCAGCCCTCCAGGATCCCCAAACCAAGTTGTTGATAGGTGCAAAATCGCTGTCTTACAATGCAAGCATAAGTCTGGTGCCTCTGCAGCTAGACCATTTTCTCCAATCTTGGGGGGGGGGGGATTTCATTCATTCAGATGCTTTTTGGTTTCCTTCCCTCCCTCCCTCATCCTAGCAAGCACAGAGAAGGGTCTTCATCAGCTCGGAAACCTGGATGCACATAGAAGGCTTTGAGTTCAAGAGGCACAGAGATTACGTTGCAAGAATGCGCTGCAAAACACCAGAGGAGAACCCTCACTATGGAAGCCACTGGAGTGCATGGAGTTCCTGTGTCACCTGGACAGCTCACACAGGTTGGCCTCCGGGATGCAACATTGTCCTGAGGTTGAATTGATGCAAATTTCCTACTTGGGGGGATGATATTTTGATTTTTCTTACACCTTAGCATTAAAAAGGCATTTTGCAGAATTTTGTTAGAATTGTTTATACAGGTAATTCTCATTTAGCAACCACAATTGAGACCAGCAACTTGGTTGTTAAGCAAAATGGTCACTATGCAAAACTGCAAGTGTGCTTATGACTTTATTTCAGAGCTTTGAAGGTTGTAAAAGTGAAGTTTGGTCATAATGTTACATTTTCATCAGCACTGTAACTGTGAAGTTACTAAACAAGGCAGTCGCTAAATGAGATCTACCTATACCAGTTTAAGTTATCATGGAGTTGAAAGGCACCTGAGCGAGCATCTTGTCTAAACTGATGGTTGTAGGATCTTCTGCAATATCTTTGGCAGGCTGCTGCCAGCCTTTGTTTGAAGAATTCCAGGAGAGGCCTCCTAGTCCCCAGGTTGAAAGTTGACCTGTGGTAGCGAACCTATGGCACGCGTGCCACAGGTGGTACTCAGAGCCCTCTCTGTGGGCACACGCGCCGTCACCCCAGTCCTAGGCCTTCAGCTGGGTTTTATAAAACCTTTTCGCTTTAGGCCTCTGCTGCCATATGCAAAGAAAAAAAAGGTTCAATCAATCAATCAATTTCAACTTCTCATGGGGGAAAAAAGATCTCGCAAAATTGGAATTGATTGATTGAACTTTTTAGCGCCACCCAGTCTGCTGTTACCACCGCAGCCACGCCGACCCAATGGGCCACGCCCAGCCAATGGGCCACACGCAGCCAATGGGCCACACCCACCAATTGGGCCACGCCCACCCGGCATCCGACGATACATAAGTGGGTTTTGGGTTGCAGTTTGGGCACTCGGTCTCTAAAAGGTTCACCATCACTGGTTTGGACCATCAGGAAATTCCTCGTACTAGTTAATCTGTATCTACTTCCCAACATTTTTGACCCAGGATGACACAGAGCAAGCCCCCTCCCTCCTCTATACAAGCACATCTTGACGGGGCTCTTTTATCTCCCCTCAGTCTTCTATTTTGCAGGAAGGACATACCCCACTCGCTTGCCTCCTCCAATTTTCCCCACAACAGGCCCGTCAGGTGGGTTTGTCTGAGAGAGAGTGACTGGCCCTAAGTCACCTAGCTGGCTTTTGTAGTTAAGGTGGGACTTGAACTCACAGTCCCCTGCATTCTAGCCTGGTGTCTTAACTACTGGACCAGACTGGCTCTTGATACACTAATCTCAGTGTGAGAAGCGGCTCTGGGTGGCTGAGATATAATATTCAGAAACAGCTCAGGCAGATCCCCGCCTGATTTGCTGGCGGGCTATGTACGTGTGTCTCCAGCACAGGCAGATTTCCAGCCATTCTCAAGGCAGGCAGTTCTAATCTTCCTGTGGAGTTGATTTCTTGGCCGGGCCTACCTAGCGAAGCCGACGTAGACCAGGACTCAACCCAAGCCATGTGAACTCAGTCTGGCTAGGTGCTGCTCTTTTCTTGCCTTTGGCAGCAGTTAATGGACTTGAAGCCGAGCAGCAGCGGTTGGGTGTCACCGGATCAGCCAGTGGTGGCCTCGGGCTGGCAGACTGGCAGCTTGCCCCTCACGCTACCTGAGCCAGCAGGTTCGAGTGAGTGTGCCTCTGTGGTGCCCAGATGTGGAAATGGTGAGGCCGGGTCGGGGCCTTCAGAAGCATGTTTGCAATGCCTACTGCACGCCCAGGGTGATTCTCCTTGTGCCCAGGGCTCCTGTTTCCCTCCACAGGTGACTGGCAGCAGCTTGATGCTCCCATCTACTGCCTGCTCTGCCTTGGCACGCTCCTGCTCCTGCTGGCTCTGGCCTTCGCCATCTTTAAGAGGTACGTTACCTCTTTTCATGGCAGCTCCGCAAAGTGTTTTCACACCTGGGAGTTATGCCCAGCACCTCGGGGCCACAAGTGGCGCTGCCCGTTTTGCTCCCCCCCTTCAGCTGGGTCAAGCAGGAGGCTTTCCTGGGGGAGGTTTCTTTTTAGCAGCCAAGTCCCAGGCAAGGGGCAGGCAAGGGCCTGGCCAGGCTTAACCCAGAAGCCCCCCTTCTGCATGTCCCTCCAGGGCCACTTTGGGGGGGGCATCTGGACTTCCCTCTTTGCGAGGCAGCCAGAATCAGCAGCGGTTCTCTGGAAGTGGGAGCTGGGGGTTGGAGAGGGGGGCAGTCGGGCTTGGTGCCCTGTGTGAGCTGGGAGGGTGGGGAAGCATGGGAAGCGAGCAGCGGCAGGATGGACGGGACTTCTCTCTGCCACAGGGCGCAGAGCAGCTGTGTGGGCAGCATCCCCACGCCGGCTGCCTTCTTCCAGCCTCTGCACCTGGCTCGCCGCGGGGATGTCAAGGTAAGGGCTGCCCTTCCCGCTTCCCAGGGCCGGGCACAGGAGCCCATGGCCCCTGCCCGGCTGACGCTGTCGGCCTCTCCTGCAGGGCTGGGCCGGGCTGGCCCCAGCGGAGGAGGCGGTGGCGCTTTCTCCACTCTCCTTCCTGCAGCCATCCTCCGGCGCCGGGTTGGGGCCAGCCAAGCTGAGTACATGGGGCGAAGAGCTTCAGGGGACCCCGCAGGAGCCCGAATGCCTGCCTGGCGATTACTGCATCCTCGGTGGGGCACAGGAAGGGGTAGCCCCGGTGCCCACCGCCTGGACTGCAGCTGCCCCCGGTGCCCGCTCGGGAGCTCCGCCTGGCTCGCTTTCCCTCTGTGATCAAGGCCGAGCTGAGGAGCTGCCTGGGAGCCGGCCCAGCGCCCTTGCTGCTTTGGGCAGGCTGGGCCGGGACTGCGCCCCAAGTGGGGAGGGTGACGAGGCATGGCCCCTCTTCGTGTGAGGCTCCAGAGCAACAGAAAGCACGGAATTGGAAATCTGGCCCGTGAACATCCATGGAAGACGATTTGGGCATCAGTGCATCACACGCCTTCAGGACTTGGCTAACGGAAAAGTAGAATTCTTGTTAAATAAACCTACATATTAGTGATGTAATCGTACAATGGAGCTGCGTATATATTGTAAGAATAGTTTTGTTCAGTGCGTTTGCTTTCTCTCCTTTGCTCTGTTTTTGCATATAATAAAATAAAAACATGGGGGGGCAATGATTGAGAGAAATTTCTTGACTGAGTAACCGGGCCATGCTGCAGCGGGAGCTGGCCCGCCTGCTGCCTTTGCCAGGTGAAGAAAAGGTAAGCCACCAAGAATCAGATGCTGCAGGAAGAAGCTGCCAGAAATCAAGAGAGTGGTAGCATCTTTGCAACTAACACCTTTGATTTAAAGGCAGAGCCTTTTGTCAGCCAGCCCACCAAGTAGCTAAAAGATATAAACTGGGATGAGGTGGGAGTTGGAGGTGAGAGATTTTGTCAAAGGTCATCAACAAACATGATGTCTCACATATGATATGTTGCAACCAATTCAAATAACAATGATTTCAAACCACAAAGAAATCCAAAATAACTTTGAAAATATAAACCAATTCATCTCCAATTTAACTTTACAACAAAAAAAATCCCAGGAAACAACAACATAGAAGGAACAGATGAAACAGACAATACAAATTTGAGGATAGAGACTTAAAGATGGAACCTAACAAAACAAAGAAGTATGATTTAACCCAAGTGGAAATTGTTTTACAATAAATACTGGATTTGGAAAAGACAACTTTAACACCAAAAAACAAATTTGAGGATAAGAAAAAAGATTGGACAAAAAGGACTGCAGAGATGCCTGGAAAAACACTAGAACTGGAGAGACAAAAAATGATAAGAGAAGCAGAGAGAAAAAGAAAAAAAAAGATTTTCAACAAAAATGAACGGGCAAATGCCTCTCACAAAGATATTGTACTTGATTTACCTTTTATATCTACAGTAACACAAGAATATGGAAAGATTCTTTGATTCAGCAGAACATATTAGAAAGATACTGGGCAGAAGAAAAAGGCTAAAGTGAAAATTAAGAAAATAGATGATGGGACCTATCAGGGAGAATATTTAAAAAAGAAACACCTGTTCGAATATGGTTAAAGAAATAGAAAAATTTTGGATGTGAATTTGACTTTAAGAGGGAAGAGCCCCTCAAGTAACATAGTACTTTCTTTTTCTTCTTTTTTTAAATTTTATTTCTTGATCTGAGTAATATAAAAGAGTTGGAATAGCTTATATAAAGGAAATGTTTTACAGTAGATATCTAAAGGTGATTGACTTCAAGAAAATTACAATGGATTAAAAATGTTTTGAATAAGAATTAAAAGACTAGACTAGATTTATTAAATGGAATATTTAAAGATTAAATATATTTTTAATTATAGTAAAAAAGAACGAAAAGTTTTTGGAAGTATGTATTAGCGTATAAGAAATAGGGATTTTAAGTAGCATACTATCTTTTTATTTTTTTATTCTTATTCTTTTTTCTTTTTTTTAGTCTTATTTATTTCTTAAAAAAGGTAAAAGTATTGGGTTGGCTTACATGAGAAAAAATAGACTTAATTTTTTAAATGTAATTATTTTTGTGAAAATCTTAACCAGTAAGAATGTTTTGAACATTGTGGGGAAAACAAATGTAAACAAGAACTGTAAACAAGATCTATGATGAGACAACCAGAATGACTAGCTAGAAAAGGAATATTATATTGATGTGATTATTATCTGTAGAAATATTAGAAAACTTTTATACTCGATCGTCATTCATTAAAACAACAATTGTATTAACTTAAGGTTGGTAAAAGAGAACATTATGGGAAAAAGGAAATCAAGTAAAGTTATTATGTGGATTATAGATTATAGAAACCAACTGGTAGTGAATGTTTCTTAAATGTAAACCCAGACAACACACTGTTTACCGAATATTAAAGTGATTATGTTAAAAAATTAATAAAACATATTTTAAAAAACAAACATGAAGTCTCAAAGCTGTGGTTAGGTAGGTCTGAAATCTGATTGAGGGAGGTCCAGCCAGTATTCTTCACATCTTCATAAAATAAGATAAGATAAGATGATAAGATAAGATAAAACCTTTATTGTCATTTTTTTTACTGTGGGCACAACAGCACATATCAAAAATGAAATTTAGTTGCCCGCTCTCAAAGTAAAACACATACATGACACACACCTAAACATACTATATACAACATATGTATAGATCCACACCCCTACATATGCATAACAAATAAATATTCAATACTGCCCATCTTGAATATATAACGGAAGGAGGAAGCTTGAGAGTTCACAAGGTTCATGCTGTATGGAATGAAACTATGGCTGAATCTGGATGTTCTGCTATGGATACTATGAAGCCCCCTCCTCCCAGAAGGGAACAAGGAAAACCGGTCGTGGAGAGGCTATGTCGTGTCCCAGACAATCTTACGGACCCTGCTCAAGCAACGCTTCTGTGCCGTGTCCTGGATGGGAGGGAGGGGACTGCCAATGATCTTTTCGGCCATCCTCACCACTCTTTGCACCGCCTTCCTGTCGGAAGCAGGGATGCCTCCAAACCAGACTGTGATGCTGTATGACAGGATGCTCTCGATCGTCCCCCTGTAGAAAGTGGTCAGGACAGGGGAAGGAAGATGGTCTAGATCAGCTGTCCGTAACCTTTTTGGGTCCATGGACCAGTGCTGGCAGGGGGAGGGGGGAGATGGTTTTGCACGCACAACCTAATTCTCCATATGCACCAATAAAGATTCCTGCACTCACCTACTACTTGCATGGCCCAGTTCCCAACAAGCCACAGACTGATACCAGTCCATGGCCCATGGGTTGGGGACCCCTGTTCTAGGTTCTCACCTAGGCCAGTGGTCCCCAAAAGGGCAGGTGCATCAAATTTGCAAATGACACCAAGCTGAGGGAATTGCCAATACTTTGTAAGATAAGCTAAGATTCAGAAGGATCTTGACAGGCATGAGCATTGGGCCCTAACCAACAAGATGCAATTCAGCAGTGAGAAAAATAAGGTCCTGCACTTACACAGGAAAAACCAAATGCATAGATACAGAATAGGAGGTATCTGGCTGAACAGTAATAACTGAAAGGGTTCTAAGTATCCTATTGGACTACCCCTTAAGTCTGAGCCAGCAGCAGTCTGCTGCAGCAGCTTCCAAAAAAGCCAGTGCAATTCTAAGCTGCATCAACAAAGAGATAAGTAGCAAGATCACAGGAAGTTGTAGTACTGCTCTGTACTATTCTACTCTACTTCCATATTTTATTCCCTATCCTATCCTATCCTATCCTAATAATCAGTTTCTTTCACCATCCTTTCCTAAAAAAGAAATGGTTGAAAACCAAACCAAAATTGTGCAATGCAATCAATTAAAAAGAATGAACAAATTGCAAAAAGCTAAAGGACAACTGAATGGAAGAACTATAACGGAAGATATACTTTGCTAACGGAAAACATTTTGAAAATATCGAGCAAACCAAGGAAGTTTTTGGCATGCCAGCATAGAAAAGAAGAATGGAGATAGATAATATCCACAGTACAAGCAGTCCTCATTTAGCATCACAACTGAGGCTGAGAACTCAATTGTTAAGTAAAGTGGTTGCTAAGTAAAAAATCATGTGATTGTGGTTGTTCTCTTTATTTGCTCCAGCTTTCCTTCTCTTTTTATCCCAAACCCTGGGAGGGGTTTAGGAGCACAACTCAGGAAGCTGGGGAAGGGGAAACCTTCCGGCCCCCTCCCCCCTCCCCCCACTCTTTGGGAGGCTTGCCTCAATTCCAGACTAATCAGCGAAGGGAAATTAATGTTTGTATTTACACTCATTGGAGAGGAAGAGATTACAAAGGAGAAAGTAGGCAAACAACAGATACAGATAGTCCTCGACTTACAACAGTTCATTTAGTGACCGTTCAAAATTACAACAGTACTGAAAAAAGGGACTTATCACCATTTTTCACACTTACAACCATTGCAGCATCTTCACGGTCACATAATCAAAATTCTGACACTTGGCAAGTGGCGTGTGTGCTCATGTCCCAGGGTTGCAGTGTCCCAGGGACCCCTGATCACCTTTGTGACCTACTAAAAACCAGTCCGTGGGAAAGCCAGGTTCCCTAAACAACCATGTTACTAACTTAAAAACTGTGGTGATTCCCTTAACAACTGTGGCAAGAAAGGTTGTAAAATTGTCTCACTTAGCAACAGAAAACTTGGGCTCAATTGTGGTTATAAGCCGAGGACTACCTGTACAACAGACAATATTTATTTATTTATTTATTTTATTTATTTACAAATATTTATATGCCGCCCAATCCCAAAGGACTCAGGGCGGCGTACAAAGTTAAAAACAGTCATAAAACAATAAAATAAAATAATCCAGTCATACCGCGAGTCCGATCATATCCCGGCCCGCCGAGGACATCAGCCCCAGGCCTGTCGGAACAGGAGAGTTTTAACGGCTTTCTTAAAGGCTGGCAGGGTGGGAGTAGTTCGAACCTCGGGGGGAAGTTGATTCCACCAGGTCGGAGCCACCACAGAAAAGGCCCTTCCCCGAGGGCCCACCAGTCGACATTGTCTGGCCGACGGGACCTGAAGGAGGCCCAATCTATGGGACCTCACCGGTCTCTGGGAGCTATGCGGCAGAATGCGGTCCTGTAAGTAACCTGGCCCTATGCCATGAAGGGCTTTGAAGGTGATAACCAACACCTTGAATTGCGTCCGGAGACCCACAGGAAGCCAGTGCAGCTCGCGGAGGATAGGTGACACGTGGGCGTACCTTGGCGCGCCCACAATCGCTCTCGCGGCTGCGTTCTGAACCAACTGCAGCCTCCGAACGCTCTTCAAGGGTAGCCCCATGTAGAGCGCATTACAGTAATCCAGTCTTGAGGTGACAAGGGCATGAGTGACTGTGAGTAAAGCCTCCCGGTCCAAATAAGGCCGCAACTGGTGCACTAGGCGAACCTGTGCAAAAGTCCCCCTGGTCACAGCTGATAGATGTTGTTCCAAATTTAGTTGTGAGTCCAGGAGGACACCCAAGTTGCGTGCCTGCACTGAGGGAGGTAAATTTGCCCCCCCCCCAGGACTAAAGATGGACCATCCAGTTGGCCTTTGGGAGGCAAGACCCAGAGCCACTCGGTCTTGTCAGGGTTGAGTCTAAGCCTGTTCACCCCCATCCAGACCCTCACATCTTCCAGGCACCGGCACATCACGTCCACTGCTTCACTGAAAGGACACGGGGTGGAGATATACAATTGGGTATCATCAGCGTACTGATGATACCTCACCCCGTGTCGCCGAATGATCTCACCCAGCGGTTTCATGTAGATGTTAAAAAGGAGGGGGGACAGGACCGAGCCCTGAGGCACCCCACAATCGAGGCGCCTAGGGGTCGATCTCTGTCCACCCGCCAACACCGACTGCGACCTGTCAGAGAGGTAGGAGGAGAACCACCGCAGTACGGTGCCGCCCACCCCCACCTCTCCGAGACGACGCAGAAGGATACCATGGTCGATGGTATCGAAAGCCGCTGAGAGGTCAAGAAGCACCAGGATAGAGGAATAACCCCTATCCCGGGCTCGCCAGAGGTCATCGGTCAGTGCGACCAAAGCAGTCTCAGTGCTGTAGCCGGGCCTGAAACCAGATTGAAAAGGGTCCAGATAATTGGTTTCATCCAAGGATCGCAAGAGTTGAGACGCCACCATCTTCTCTACAACCTTCCCCACAAAGGGGAGGTTGGAGACGGGACGAAAGTTCTTCAAAACAGCTGGGTCCAGGGAAGGCTTCTTGAGGAGGGGCCTCACCACCGCTTCCTTTAAAGGTTGCGGGAAAGACCCCTCCATCAAGGAGGCGTTGATTATCGCCTGGAGCCAGCCTCGTGTCAATACAAAACACACTTGGAATATTGCATTCATTTTTGGTCACAATAT